GGGCGGGCGGGGGGCCTGCCTTAAGCTGTGTAAGGGGCCCTAAAATTTCTGATGGCTGCCCTGACAGGCCTAGGCCGTGTAGCAGCTGCTCGAGATGTGGAGAGGCCCCCCCCCCAGAGCTCTGGGGCAATACTATCCTGCCGACCCACCATGAGACCTCATCCCGCAGGAAAAAAAGCGCAGAAGATTTAGTCTGCATAAGGAAGCCCTGCACCAGGGGCACCCCTCATCTAGGAGGGGTGTGACGGAAATTCGCTTGGTTAAAGTGCGCCAAACACAAAGAATCCCCCCCCCTCCCCCGTGCATAGAAGCACGCGTGTATGACGCTCTCCTGTGCGAGGACTGGAAGCACCCCTGTAGAGTCGGGACACGGGTGTTGCTTTCCCGCTGGTGGTTCCCTTCTTAGAGACCTCAGCACAGGTTTGTTTATTTTTATAGACGTCTGACAGGAAGTGATGTCAGACAGGAAGTGATGTCAACAACCAACATGACTTCCTCAATACATCTACATATCATAGCCAGCCATGAAAGGGAGTATCAGACCCACAAACACAATCTCCCGGTACCGCCGGAGCGATCCTTACCCAGCGCGGCTCAGCGAGCGACAACGTTACTACGATCCCTATGACTGCGCGCTTCTCTGCAGGGACAACGCCGCACTACACCCAGCGTGCTGATCAGACGCATCAGAAATACCAACGCACGTTCCTTTCATAAAGGCCGATATGTATCTTATATAATACGATGTCCTCAAAGCAAATGCGTCCACGCCAATAAATCCGCGCACCGCGCTGGGGCCCTGGCCTGGCGTCCATACACTCGCTAAGAAAACACTGCTGCGGCACGCTAAAGATATCCACTCCAATGGTTTACCCGCAGTGTCTATTTAAATCCGGGTGACGCGCCAATCGAGCGTGACGCAGAAATCCCGACACTGAGAGACAATATGACACTAACAACGCATGCAGGTAACATTTCCACAACGGGGGTCGTCCAGGCCAGGAGAGGCTGAACACGGATGGGACCGCAGGGAGGAATTACAAACGTGCACTTCGTGGCCTGGAGCGAGGACAAAAAGAGAACCGGTATCTGGGGGGGGGGCCTGTGGGGTCAGAGGGGCGGAGCTGACCCATCAGTATGCTGACAGGAGGAGGAGCCAGGAAATATTGTTGCTTATGAGACGTATCTCTGTTACTTCCCTATTCACAACCTGCCACCCTCAATCATTGTTCTACATACATGACCCCGATATTCATCCCAGGCGTGTGCGTGTGCAATGATATAGTTTACAAGATGGTAAAATCTCCCAGGGTTGGGGTCAGTCAGGAGCAGCTCCTAAATAATCTATCGCGTGTCACCAGCATAGAAGTGAGAATTGTATGATGATAAATGAGACAAACACACACATATATGTGTTTTACGTTAAAAGGCTGCCCTATGCAGATCCCCTGACGAAGCGCGTTTAAGTGAAACGCGTGGAAAGGTATTCTGCAACCAGAAGCCCCGGGAGATTGTACTATGTTGTATATTATATATATAGCAAGTATATGTGACACGGGTGAAAATATTTACCAATCTGGTTTATACATATACACTATATTGTCACAAGTATTAGCCCCTCCCCCCTCCAATCATGTGATTCAGGTCCTCCAATCCCCTCCATGGCCCCTGGTGTATAGGACGAGGCCCCTCCCCCTCCCGGTCCTCCAATCCCCCG